AACCCTTGTTGGCAATCACAGAGGTCAGACGTTTCTTGTAGTTGGCCACCAGGTTTCCACACATCTCAGGAGGGATTTTGTCCCACTCCTCTTTTGCAGATCCTCTCCAAGTCATTAAGGTTTCGAGACTGACATTTGGCAGCTGGAACCTTCACCTCCCTCCACAGATTTTCTATGGAATTAAGGTCTGAAGACTGGCTAGGCCACTCCAGGACCTTAATGTGCTTCTTCTTGAGCCACTCCTTTGTTGCCTTAGGTCGTTGCCATGCTGGAATACCCATGCACGACCCATTTTCAATGCCCTGGCTGAGAGGAGGTTCTCACCCAAGATTTGACAGTACATGGCCCCATCCATCCTCCCTTTGATGTGGTGAAGTTGTCCTGTACCCTTAGCAGAAAAACACCCCCAAAGCATGTTTCCACCTCCATGTTTGACGGTGGAGATGGGAGGAGCATTCCTCCTCCTCCAACATGGTGAGTTGAGTTGATGCCAAAGAGCTCGGTTTTGTCTCATCTACCACAACACTTTCACCCAGTTCTCCTCTGAATCATTCAGATGTTCATTGGCAAACTTCAGACAGGCCTGTACACGTGCTTTCTTGAGCAGGGGGACCTTGCGGGCACTGCAGGATTTCAGTCCTTCACAGCGTAGTGTATTACCAATTGTTTTCTTGGTGACTACTATTCCAGCTGCCTTGAGATCATTGACAAGATCCTCCCTTGTAGTTCTGGGCTGATTCCTCATTGAAACTCCACGAGATGAGATCTTGCAAGGAGCCCCAGACCGAGGGAGATTGACAGTTATTTTGTTTCTTCCATTTGCGAATAATTGAACCAACTATTGTCATCTTCTCACCAAAATGCTTGGCGATTCCAGCCTTGTGTAGATCTACAATCTTATTCCTGACATCTTTGGACAGCTCTTTGGTCTTCGCCATGGCGGAGAGTACGGAATCTGATTGATTGCTTCTGTGGACAGGTGTCTTTTATACAGGCAATGACCTGAGATTAGGAGCACTCCCTTTAAGAGAGTGCTCCTAATCTCAGCTTGTTACCTATATGAGACACCTATATAAGCCAGAAATCTTGCTGATTGATAGGGGATCAAATACTTATTTCACTCATTAAAATGCAAATCAATTTATAACTTTTTTGAAATGCATTTTTCTGGATTTTGTTGTTATTCTGTCTCTCACTGTTAAAATAAACCTACCATTAAAATTATAGACTGATCATTTCTTTTTCAGTGGGTAAATGTACAAAATCAGCAGGGAATCAAATATTTTTTCCCCTCACTATATGCTGGGCTGGTTTTCTCCATCTCACAATTATGTCTTAAATCTATTAGATTTATTTTCTCATAATAAAACTGAATTACAGTAACATCCATTCATCCGTCCATCCATCCGTCCATCCATCCGTCCATCCATCCGTCCATCCATCCATCCATCCATCCATCCATCCATCCATCCATCCATCCATCCATCCATCCATCCATCCATCCATCCATCCATCCATCCATCCATCCATCCTTCTTTTACAGACTTGAATGAAAACTCTGAATCCAGTAGATGGTGTTTCTCTTTTATTTAAAAACAGTGCTTCATTACCATTTGCAAAGGATGAAGAAAGACTCCACCTCCCTTGCTTAGAGTTTATAAAAGCCAGCAACATGATCAATAATTTATACACATGGATAATACAAAAAAAAGAATAAAAGCTAAAGAGCTAACTACTCTGACCTTCACAATTCCAGCTACTTGATAATAATAAGAGTAACCCAATGAATACTGTATGGTTTGAAAGCTACTGTACAATATGATACTTGAACAGGGGGTAGGGGAGGGAATAGGGATGTTAAGAGATTGCCACAAAGTCCTGGGATGCAGCTACTACTTTTCCAGAGTCAGTCAGGAAACAGGATCCTGGTCAAGCAGCCTGGGCATCCTGGGGAATGATCCAAGGAGAAGGGAGCATCTAATTACAATGCATCCTATGTCCCAAAAGTACCTGGCAAGGAAGAAGTGCAATAGACACTGCACCAAGAGTCAAGCCAGTTCAGGGCATATTAGATCTTCTTCTGACAAACTCCAAGTATTACCAAGTCTGCTTGGGTGGTCAGTAAACTCTCTGTCATCTTGGGACTGCCCTCAGTTCTGCCTCAACTTTTGTCATCATGCCAGGGTCATGCCCCAGGTATTTACAAACAGAACTAAAACAAAACAAAACAAAAACACCAAATTAAATCCCAGAAAGATTACTTTATCACTTATTGAATTCCAGGCAAAAAGAGCTGCCAAAACGGTGACACATCACTCTACTGAATATATAGACTAAATTCCTTCACAGTGGCTTCTCAAAGCAACTGCAAAATGCACTTGAATATTCCACTCCAAAAGAGAGAAAACCAAGTACGAGGCTTCTGATTTTCCTTTAAAGAAGTCAATAATTAATTGACATGAGGCAGACTACAAGTCATAATGAATACTTCAGTGGACGGCTTTAAGAAAAAATAAAGGGGCAGCAAATCTGCTATTGCTAAGGAGTAGGCTGTTACTCAGTTTTCATCCTTTTTAACAGGCAGTGTTTAGTGCGATATATCTAGAAAGACTCACAAGAAGCTTCTTTCTAATTGTCCAAGGTTTGAAGTATCATCTGAACAAAATAACTGCAGAGGACTACAATGTTGCATTGTTTCTCCACCATCATGGCAGTAAGTTCTGCAAATTGAGCGCTTATGAGAATTTGGTTCTTAGAAGGGGTGCCAGGAACACAGTCCAAATCTTATGGTTATATAACCAATCAGGTAGGGAAAACAGCACACTGAGGAAATACCCTATATTAATAGTTTAATTCTGACTACAAGAAGATGGTTTGCCTCATTCACTGGAGATTTAGTTTCATTAGACTGTAAATAAAAACCTTAAAACAGGGTGGGTGAATAGAAAATGGAGCAGAAAATGTTCAGTTGACAATAACAATAACATCACCCAAATAGTGTTTTATGCAACAATGCAGCAACAACAACAAAAATCAAGTATACTGGCGTATACTACAATCATGTTTGAAATTATCAGGAGAAAATCAGAATAAAAACACACACGTTACATTGGTTATTCACCTTGTCCATTAGGAATTTTGTTTTCCTATTGTAAAACCCATTCAGTCAATACACTCCTAAGCCTCTTCTCCACCCCAGCCCACCCCACTCCCCACTGCAATGGATTCCTCAGATGCTAGCATGCTGGAGAATGACATGCACATTCTATTTCCCAGGCTGCCTGCACACTCTTTTGCAGCACAAGACACATCCATCCCAATCTGGTCTTGAAAGCTGAAGTGTCCTGCTACATATCTACTAGACATCTGTAAATGGAGGTGGCTGGAAGAGGATTTGTAAAGCCTTGAATTTGTACCACCTATGAAGATGTTTCAACTGTTCTAGAAATCAGAGGGTAAACATTATCTTGCTAAAATTTTGCTTTGTTGCAAAGTTAGTTCAGGCTTTGGAAAAATCAAGAGATGAAAAGGTATTTATAGGAATAGTGTACTTATCATATATTTGTGTTTCACAAAAAAGGCAAATGTTTTGCTCTTTCGTTTTATAGCTAAGGAATTAGACTAGAGACATTTCTTGGCTAAAGATGCCTTGTAGGGCCAGCGATATAACTCAGGTGACAGCCAGGGTGACTTGAGTGTCAATCCAGGAATAATCTGTAAAAGGACTCCACCTTAGTCCTTTATGAGAAAAAGTTAATAAAATTATGCAACTTGGAGGATTTATCCAGATCCAGGGTTCAATCTTTCAACTGTAAAAAAATATTTAATCCAAGAATTGTGTTAGAGCGCTGCAGATTGTATCTTTTTCTATGTCAACACAAGACTCTTTTCTCACAGTTGTTAATTCACTATGGAACTCTGATGTATCTTATTTGACAGGCAGAAGTAAAATCACATCCTCCTTGAGATGAAAGTAGCTGGAAAATCTTCCTTCCTCATTTCCACAATTTTGTGACAGCTGTAATATTCCTATTCTCTTCTCATTTTAACCTGGATGTACAAAACAAACTTAGTGACTGTTACAGCAGCTTGTCTTTAAAAAAGCAGCTAACAGTCTAATAATTTAGTGCCCCTTTGCTCAAACAGACTCTTTCATTAAGATCTCCTCTTTAGCAGTCCACAGAAATCTCTGGTAAGCCACAAGAGAACACAATGGCAGTGGAACTAAAGATGCATGAGTTGTATATGATTGGAATAGTGCACTTATGTGATATTACTGAAGGTTTTCAAATCTCCTTACCCATTTTGACATCACAAGGCAAAAGATAATAGGGTTTCATTTATCCAATTGCCTATTTTTAGTTGAAATGTCCTCCAATACTACTTTAGTGAGATGAAGGAGCAGGGAATTGTGCTTTTGTAATGGGTATGGCTTTAAAGTTATACTATACAGGATGGTACACTTGGTCATAGCCAAAAGTCTGAGAGTTGATGGACTTTAAGTTAAATTTGTAGGGCATCTGCAGGAGGTGTTAAAAATAATAATGGAAGAGTACAAGAATAAAAAGGGATACTTTATGCTATTCTAATGTCTATGATCAAAATATATAAGAGCCATGGTTTGCTTGTAATCCAATTGCATGCATTATCAATTGACAAGATTTCAGCTGGTAGAAGAAGAAAGTGTATTCCAAGCAGATATTCCAGCATGGCACAATCTTCAGGCTTAGAGTTTTCCTGAAGCCCTTTCTCAATTCCAGACTGGCAGTACTGATCCAATTGAGCAGTTTGTCTTCAGACAGGCAACCATTAAGACTGGTTGCAAATCAGAGTAAACATTAATTATGCCTTTATATTATGTTTGAAAATACTTCATTTCCAGATACCAATGCTAATACAAGCATGGTTTCCAAATTAGTGTTATGACAAAAGGAAGAAATAAATCCCCCTCACCTTACTTTTCTGGTCCAGAATGCATTTTTTTTCTTTTCATGCAATTTTTTTTTATAACATACTTGCAGCAAAGCTAACTACCTCAGGGTGAAAAAGGAGGATCTTGTACAGTGGAGTATCTTAGAGTATCAGAGTAGCACTGGTGCAAGCTTTTCCCATAATCACTATTCCAGAACCTCAGAATATGTAGATCTTTGCAATTAAACTCTTGGTTTTTCTAAAGAAAAAAAAATTCATCATGGCTCCAAATTCAACAGTTATTGTCCCAAACATGCTATTTCATCAGAAAAGAGGGAAGAGTGGGAAGAGAAGAAAACCAAAGCAACGGAATGATTAAAGTAAAGCCATGGTAGAATGGATTATAAGAATTAAAGATAGGCGTATGTATTTGTTACATGCCTTGTCCTCTAAAACCATTAGATGAAGTCTTTGGGCAGCTTTGAGCAGTTTTGTCTTGAAAATTATAAAAAAAATCTTGATGCTGCTGGAGCTGTCCTGAGCCCATAAGTGCCAGCTGGTGATAAAAGAGGAGGGTCTTTGTGTTTCCAATGAGCATGCAGGTTCCAGCTGCAGGCCATCAACATTCCCCCATTCTCCCAATAGAGGGGGTTCTTCCACACTATTCTGGCTCTTGGGCAGAAGACCCAGCAATAATATCTACATATTCCTGACTATGTTCCATTATATTGAATCCTAACAGCCCTCCTTAGCACTATTTATCTCTTTTTGTGTGATTGGTAGGATAAACTATGCATATATAGACACAAAATGCATTATGTTTACCACAGTTAAAAACAAACAATTGAAAAAAAAAGATCAAAAAATGCACAATCTTTGGAACAAAAGAATTAAAGGCAGAAATTTAAAGGAAAATACATATTTAAAGAACATAGTGAGGTATAAAAAAGTATTTCTCTTGTTTTTTTCTTTTGTTTTCCTCCTCTTCTTGCTATAGAGTTCCTCTACTAGTAAATATTGCAATAGCCAGGCCTCATGAACTGGGGGGAGGGAGCTGTCCCACTTGCAGGGGGGCTCATGTCACTTCAGTAAGGGGCAAATCGGCTGTAGCCACCTCGATATAAACTTGCCTGCAAAAGTTGATAAAAACAGAGGAAATTTAGTGGGTTGTTTTTTTAAAAAAAAAACAACAACAATGCATATAAGACATTTTTCCATGTAACCCCCATGTGATTTAAGAAGCTGTAGAATGTCTTCTTTAAAAAATATTTCCTTGGACTCCAATTGACCTGAAGTGTAGGTGTCTGAAAGCCTAGTCCCATATTTGTCTTCTGGATCAAGAACATTAATGCTAGATTATCTATAGCAATTTTTCTCCATGTTTTTCCTTGAACTGAATTTCTCTTTGTCCCTGCTCTGCAGTTCTTTTACTGTTCTTCTTCCTAGCCAATTTTTAAAATTTAAAAGCATGAACTTCCTGTAAGTTATCCTAAGATTTTTTAAATGCAAATCAGAAGATCTGCAGACAGACTGCTCTATGATGATAACATTTGAGAATATTTAACTTTGAAAAGGAAAGTAGCCAGGTCCAAGTCTTATTACTCAGCTTGCTAACAAAATCAATGGGATTAATGAACTCCAAGTCCTTCAGCACCAATATACTCATTTCCAAAGTTAAAATCAATTATTGGCTTCATTAGTTTATTTTGTAATTCTTCATTAAAATAAAAACCATAAAATAAAAGCTCTAGATACAAACAAAATAATAAGCCCCTTTGATATTAGAATGCCAATGTACATGATTGGAATATGGTAATAGATCACTGACTATATTTGAGACCAAGCCTGGGAATCATATTATTTCCCATTTGGTGATTTGACCACAGCATTCCCTTTAGAGTGGAACTGATGGCTGGCATTAACATTCTCATATCTTTGTCTTACTTTTCTATTATTATCCTCCTATCAATCCTAGCACTGTTTAGTAATTAACCAGTATGCTGAATACACTTTTTATTATAGAACTTCTGAGATTATTCAACCACCAATACTGTAGTCAATGTAAGTGATCCTCATTTAATGACCACTCATTCAATGACCGTTCAAACTTAAGATAGTGCTGAACCAGTCGTTAAAACTGGTCCTTACACTTACAGCCATTGCAGTTTCCCAGGGTCATGTCATCACAATTTGCAAGCTTTGTCAGAACCCTGCCAGCTTCTGACAAAGTCAATGGGCAAGCTGGCAGGAAATTGCAAGTGAAGTCCTTGGTTAAGGATGTCAACAGGGACTGTCGGAACTCCCTTTGATAAGTGGCACAGTCATGTGGTTTTTTTTTTACTTATTACCATTTTGTTTAATGACAGGATTTCCAGTCCCAATTAACACTGTTAAGGATTACCTGTACTTGATAAAAGTACAAAATCACTAAGGAAGAGGAAAAACCATACATACCACAGCGCCAACTCCATAGCTAGCTGCAGGGGCAAGAGCATGGTAAGGGTCTGTTGTGTACACCCTGCCGTAACTAAAAAAAAAAAAAGAGTGGGAGGGAAGCAAGAAAAAAAGTCACTTCAATAAAGGCTTTTGTCATCAGAAGAAATGGAAATGTATGAACTTCCTGGCTCCACCCCACCTCTATTTTTTTCCCCTCCATTATCTAAAGGACTTGTTTAAATCTAAAGAAGCTGTTGCATCAATATTTAATTTTGCTAACCCCAAGTACTCATAATTTAATACTTTAAAACAAAAAGGTTTCATTTTAAAAGAAGCACATTTCACATTATGGTAGTAGTGCTTGGGTGTGGGAAAGTTGGCCTATCATAAATATGTGTTGAGTTTTATGCTGGAAAGATATCATTTGTGTAATAAAATTTCACGATTTTAGATTGAAAAACATATAAAACTATAAAATTTACATTAAAATTAAAGCAGCTGAAATTAACCATCCCTGGGAAATAAATGTGAGTCTTGCAGGAAAATGAGGCACTGATTAGGCTCCCCATTTGAAAAAGTGCTCCGACAGCATACCAAGTCCTTTTAGATGAAACTACAGAATTTATCTATTATTGTTGTGGCAATAACACCAAAGAAGACACTGGAAGGTGTTTGAAGATGAAAGTGCAGTAAAAGAATGAAAGTGAAATGTATTATACTTTCATGCAAGGCTTTATTATGTCATTCCTACTCTGTCCTTTGACATAAGACTTATCATTGAAAGTATTTTTACTGGCTTAGCCAGTGTACATAGCCTTTTCAAAGATAGAAAAAGGTTTTCATTCTCTCTATTATTAGCTTAATGACCAACGCACCAAAAGGCAAGACAAGAAACAATGGAGGGAAACTAACCAAGGAGAGAAGCAATCTAGAACTAAGGAGAAATTTTGTAATGGTGAGAGCAACCATTTATCTGAAATAGTATAATTTGCTTGCTTGAGCAGGGGGTTGGACTAGAAGACCTCCAAGGTCCCTTCCAACTTTATTATTCTATGTCCTAATGATTGTGATTGTAGAAAACAATTATGCTAAGCTACACAATAACTCTCAGAGACCAATATGTACAAGTCAATGATGTCTTATTTGTGGGGCCATAGATTATTGCAAAAATACACAGCATAGTATAATTCATCTCAAATGAATTCATTTCTCACAATTTGTAAGCCATTTGCCTATATCCATCAAATCCAGGGCAGAGGACTGGAGGCAAAAAACTATGAATGGGGGTTATTAGTTGTGCTTGAAAACAGCACAAATTCCCCCCAAAATGCCAGCAGGACTATAGATTGCTATCCTAAAGGCATTCTATTCTGTTTTGCCTATAGACAAGAACAAGGTTGAATGCTGATTCTGATGCATGACTGCAAAGTCCAGCTATCTCTTTTGGAAACACATAAACCTTAGGCATATAACAATTGTTTTTACTCAATGTTTCCTAGCCAAAAACATGGAGGTCATGTATTTAACATTTGCAGCTGGGACATATATTGAGGAATATGAGGAAATGTACTGTATTTTTAAAATGACGTATTCTCCAGAAAAATGAAAACCATGCCTTTCCTTACATACCCATCACTGTAAGCTGCTGCAGCTGCAGCAGCAGCAGTAGCTGCTGTTGCAGTAGCGGGCTGCGCATATCTGTAGGCTGCATATCCACCCTGCAGGTAAAAAAAAGAACTGACTTTATAGATATCTTTCTCCTTAAACAAAGTGGACTGATATACACAACACAGGTACAGAGGAAATGTTTCAAACTGCATCAGCTCCCATGTCACATTTAATTATGAAAGTATTCCCTGATCCTCATATATTTTGCTATCTCCCCAACACATTTCATGATGAAAAGTCCTATATCAATTAAGGAAATCAAATGGAAAAGCCTATACTATCATAGTACTTGTAGGTCAATTTATTAACAAGAATATCAAAAATAAAGATGCTAATACATCTCTTTAGTCCACCCTGATCATAATCACTATAAAAAGTCTACTACACTGTTACCCACCAGGGCTATAAATTCAAGTCAAACATCCACGCAAGCTAATGTTTAGGAAACGAATTCCATATATGGAAGGCACATTAAAATGAACTCTTTAAAACAAGTTCTTTATATTTCCAATAATCTAAGTACCATCTTCCTTCTTGTATCTTCTGTCCTACAGTCTCTTCCTTGCCAATTCCTTCACATAATTTAGAACTTAATGGCTTTAAATTCACTGCTACATCATGATCTTTTTTTTTCTTGCCAAATTCTCTGTAATAGCTCTTGTCTGATTTTGTATATCAGATTGTAATGCTTAACCTTTAACAGTCTTCATTTAGCTACATATGGTCTTCCTTTTATTTTTGTCCTATGCCTGGGACATCATAATCCTGTCTCGGTAAAAACCAATCCTCTTCCTTTCTTATATTTCCTACAATGACAGAAGCTGCCTGATACTCCTTCCAGTTTTAATTATTTCATAGCTATCATTTATTTTTGTTAAATAGGAAGATAGTGTGGTGCAAAGCAACAGGATCTGTCTTTTTTAGAATGTATCTGAGTTCAAAAGAAAATCTGGACTTAAAAGGAATTTTCTAAGAAATCAGAAATGATGGGTGTCTACAGAGGAATTTTTCTTCTTATAAACATAAATGTGCATATATGTATGAGTTGTAAACTTTCTTACTTATTTATTTGGCTCATGTTCACCTTGGCAACCATTTAGTAAATGGGCAAGCTTTCAAAACAGCCATTTTGTGAGAATATTCATAACAAGTTCTCAAAATTATAAATATGCCTGTTTCGTCAATGTTTCATAGAACTAACTTCAGTGGGTCTGTCTTAAACATTAATTCTTTAAGAAGGGACTGTGTTCAATTATTCATACTGCAGAATAACCAGTATGTTTTAGCTATTTTATCATTAATATCTAGCTGAATGCTGGAAGAATGAATTTATGAAACAATCTTGTTTTGGTGCTATACCTATTATAGTGTTGCTTTAGGAATTAACCAGTGCAATCTTTATGAAAAGAAAGCAGATACCTGCACATTTCATTATAATTTCAGGGCAAAAATATTGTATTAAAGATAACCAATGCAACAATAACAAGATAACTGTAAAAATCCTGTGCACGGAAATCTCATCTCACTTAACATGTAAGAGGCCTTCACAGATTAAAAGTCATGGCAGCAAATAATTATAGTCTTGAAATTATATCAATTAACAATTAGCTATAAAGAACAGTGTTAAACTTTAGAAGACTGGATGTTTTGACAATTAGCAAAAAATACAAAACCTGTAAAACTGAATAAAGATTCCTCTGAAACTTAAAAAAACCCCTCATACTCATTCAGTGAGCCAATCTAAATTATCTTATTGAAATATATTGTTTTACCATCTTTTTATTATTTCAGGCCCACATGGAATTATCAAGCACAGGAATCAGCCGCAAAGGGTATACAATTCAGAGAAGTACTTTTTCCCTTCCTTAATAGTTGTATCAACCATTAATAGTTGTTTATCAAGTAATTGTAATTACCATTCCGAGTGCCTGGTTTAATTAATTTTACCGAGTTCTGAAGACCTAAATGTACAGGAGGAGGAATTGGGAATGAAAATGCAGACGTGTTCATGGTATGAAACAGATTTTTTTCATGACTGTAAACTAAGTATGAACATAGTGTTAGCTTCCCTCTATCCAGCTATTACAGGGAAATCTGTGGCAGTTACTTTTTTATACAGTAATATTGTTAAATATTACTAATACAAACTAAAAAAAGTAAATTAAAAATAATAAATGCAGAAAATTAGAAAAGAAAAAAATAAGAATAAGTAAAGGGAAATCTATAGCAATTACTATAGAATATTGAGTCTCCTCTTTCTCAGAAAGAACAGTGACCTTAAAATGTCTAAACTTTAGAGCTCTTTTGACAGAGGAAGGGCAATGATACACTTATAGGGTTCCAAAATTAGCCACCACTTCAAATCTCCTCCTGTCACAAAACGAACAACAGTTCTAGTGCTTCTCCTCATGACGGTCTCTATTCTGATTTTTTAAAAGCTCTTTATTTCATTATACTGAGTAATAGTAGCAGAAGAAGAATTTTATTCCAAGGAGCTTTGCTAAAACAAAGCTTCAAACATACCGGCTTCCCTTGATAAAAAAAAAAATGCAGATAGCAGAACTTTCAACATATCTGATATTCAGGCATGCTCAGATGTATTCATCTTGGTCTTTGGCAACACTGATTGCTGAGCAGCTTGTCTCATAATGTGCCTGGTGTGCTCTATTCCCAACATAATTTTTTAAATTTGACATTTGAGATAATCAGCTGAGTTCAGCCCAACTGTGAATAGGAGGACAAGATGCAGTTTGAAACTAAAGATGTTTTTTTCCCATTTAAGTCATTTTGACTTGCATTTCTTATAAAGAAAAAAAGGACTGGAATTAGGATGGGGAATGGTATAACATTTATTAATTATATGGAAATGAAAATAAAACTAAGCATGCTGACATTTGGAACTAAAAAACAACCAGCAAAGTCAACACGTTCAGACTCATATTGGCTAGTTCTATCTATCCCAGCATTCTCTTGGGACAGCAGTTTTGCCCTAGGCTCTACCACAAGCTCAGTGAAGTACACAGCCTCAATTACTAGAGCGTGCAGCCACAACGACCTGCTATTACATAAACAGTCAGTCACCACTGGAGTTAACATTCCAAATCTTAAACAATTCCCATGTACCCCAAAATAAAAAAGAAACCTCCCACCCTAGCCCTGTCCCACACCACGAATGTTAATAATCATAACAAGCAGTAACCCATCTGTTATATCAGAGAAGGGAACAGAGACTCCATTGAGAGATTTCGAGCAAGATGTTAACATTTCTCAGCTGATTGCACAATAAACAATAATAACAACAAAAAAGAAAAATAATAATTCATTGGAAAAATGAAGCTAAAAATAGCTGATGGGTATTTTAGGGTAAGCAGGCACTGATACAGATGTGAAATTATTTAGAAAAGTGGATGCTGCATATAAATGAATGATCATTATCTATGTGATGAAAGTTGCATGTTTTTTTTTATCTATATGCACAACACATTTAACTGGGTCAAAGAGGAACTGTACAAATATCTTAGCTAACTGTGGAAAACGAATTCTACAGTTAGTTAAGATAGTTAAGTTTAAGCCTGAAGCTAAACTAACTGCAAACAATCAAGGCAGCTGGGTTATCTATTCCTTCTTTTTATATGCCTCTCATTTTATGTTTTTGCTATTTGGCCCCCAGAACCACACAGGGATGCAAAGGGAGCAGAAATAGACTAGAATAGATTAGAAATGACCACTCCCACTCATTGGCAATTATGCATTTCTGGCACATGGGATTAGTCAATTAACCAAGGGGAGCAGCTGACATCAGCATGATGTCATCTGAACATGTTCATTAGATGTACATTACATAAAATCAAGAAGTGGAATCAAAACATATTCCAGACAAAAGAACATGGGCATTTAATTATATCAATAGATGATGCCTGCTTGAAAATTTAGCAAGTCAACTTTAGCTAGGATAAGAAAAAACATAATATGTACACATTTTTCCTCAATTTACAAGAATTTTAGATGTACATGAAACAGATATATAAATTCTGGCATAAGCTTACTCCAGAAAAGATTTTTGAAATGTGAATTTTTAGGGACTCCTAATTTGCCCTGTCAATTTATTTAAAACTCCATGGAATAAGTCCAAGCTACTTATAATATCCACGGTTTCTGCTGCTTTGACAGAAGACTTGTCTACTAACTCACATTTTTTTCCTCCCCTTCCCTGCCTTCCATCTGTTTTATATTTGTCTGCACCCAATCAAATATTATTTAATTCACTACAGTATATTCTAGAATTTAGCAAGTTTCTGTTAATCAGTAAAAGACACAGACCATGACCAGTTGTTTCATGTTTATCTGTATCTGGACAATAAAAACCTATGTTTCAAATAATATAATCTTCATGATAGATATCCCAATTTTTTAATTATTTAGACTGAGTGTTTCATTTTTCACCTTGAGTAGACTACTTTCTCAAGAAGGCATCATTAGGCATGTGATGACAGATTCTCTTGTCCTATAGGTAAGGCAACCCTGAGGCTCTGTTGCAAATAGAAAGGAGGAAAAGGTTGCTATAACATGACAGTGATCAAATTATCAGAAATAGACAGATAAAGGGAAGAGCCCTTCACTGCACAGCTGTCAATTTCAATGTGGGACAGTCCAAGTGCTGCTTTAGCCACGGGGGAAGATGGAGATTAGTTTCATTCATTTTGTCTGGAATTCATTTAAGCTTGATATGTCTCAAGTGTTGCTATAAGCATCTTTTATTAACCTTTCCCCATCATATGTAGACTCGAAGAGACCTACAATATGCAACAAGTTTCCTATTTGTATTCTCAGCTCAATGTTTGACAATTACTGAAATAAAATCTACTGTTCTTCACAGTTCTTGTAAGTCAATGGAAATAGCAGGTATCAAGGTAAATTATAAACAAAAATACACCAAAATGCATCTGGTTTTATATATTCCAATAAATGGATAAATATTAATAAATGACTTAAGTATTTTTTTCAATAATGCAGAAGCTAAACAAAAATGTTAATGGCAAGCTCATGTGATGAGGTCAGCCACCATTAATATGTAGGTATGTCTGTGTCTGTCTAGCTATCGGTATCTACCTACCTACCTATTATCTATCTATCTATCTATCTATCTATCTATCTATCTATCTATCTATCTATCTATCTATCTATCTATCTATCTATCTATCTATCTATCTATCTATCTATCTATCTATCTCATTTATTGGCCACCCATCCTACCACAGGGTAACTCTGGGTGGTTAGGCTAATAATGAGATATTGTCAAGGTTCTTTCTGTGTGCCTGGATGCTCTTAAAGTTTAGATGGCAAGGAAGAAGATGGCTGTGAATTCAGAAACCCTCCATTTCCAGGGAATGTCCATGTTTAGCTCCAGATAAAATTGCATTTTCCCAGGAAGAATTGGTGTATATATATTAAAGATCTTCCTGGAGTCATAGTTTTTGCTGAAGGAGCAAATGGCAGCCATAGCATTGAGGGACTTTGCAGATTTATCTAGTATGCCAATTTCACCCCTTCCTGGGTTGAGAGTCTTTTTCTTGGTCACTTCTAATTTGGACTATTGCAGTAAGTTCTACCTGGAGCTGCTTTTGAAGATTATTTGAAAACAAAAACTGATCCAGAAGGTGGCCTATGTGACAGCTCTATTTCATCAACTTCACTGGTTATCAGTTGACATCTAGATACAATTCAAGGTATTGGTTGTCACACATAAAACTCTTTGTAACTCAGGGCCTAGACAGCTAAGGAATTGTCCTTTTCCTCTGATTATCTCCTCCCATCTTACAATAAAGCAGAGAATGAGGAGAGTTGAAACTTTATGCATAGGAAGTTGCTTAAAGTTTATCTTTTTGTTCTCAAATAATGGACTAGGTTTTTTCCCAAGATGCAAGTTGGACAAAATACACTTGCTTTTCTATACATGTAGTCAAGAGTTTGTCAGAACATTTGCTCCTGGGTGACAAATATATAATGCTGGAACGGATGAATTTCTACTTCATTTAATATTTGCAGGTACTGATTCATAAATGCATTTCTGCATCAATGTATGCATCTTAAAAAACTATTATAAATCCTCATATGTTTGGAAGCTTTCCCCTCAAAGTACTGAGTGAGCATTAATTCTAAATAAATACTTTTAACACCATAAGATATATGCTTAGAAATTTTTAAACATACTATCTAATTTGAGGGTTTAGGACAGTAGATTCAAATGTTGAAAACAAAACAAATAAAAAATAAAAAACAGGATCTTATCTATTCTAATAATAGACATAGATTGGAAGTTCTTAAACATAAAAAAGTAAAATCTTTCAGAATACACTGAAGAATATATTTGATATATTTACATATATTCATATATATATAAATAACAAGAATTCCTCTTATTGTAGCAACTAGAAAATTACTCTGTGGTCATAATAATTGCTACTGACCATGTATTTGATCTGTCAGCATTTATCCAGGAAAGACTAGGTCACACAGAAAATGTTCTGAGAGCACTATTTAAGCTTAAGCCATATTCAGATGCAAGATTTAAACTTTCCCAGGAGACTAAATTTAATTTAAGAGAGTCTCTTTTTTTCCAGACTGTTACACTTTTGGCTGCATCTCTGAGAAAGCAGAGTTCCAATATTAGCAAAAAATATTCTGCCACACAATAAGGGTGTAAAAATTGCAGAGCATGCTTATCGTTTTGTGAAAACACTCCAAAATATTCACCATCCTAGTGCTTGGAGCTTAGCAGATGGAAAATGAAATAGGGGAGGTGTCCCAGTTTTTCCAATAGAAGAGAATATATGGAGCTCAAGGTTGAACTGTGGAATCCTGGGTGCTCCCTGAGTTTGCAGAGATTTCATTATCTAACAAGGTAACATCATGAGTGCTAGAGAATGTAGGGTTTGCTTCCTGTTTACATATAGTAGCTTCTCCTGCCAGTGTTGGTGGGGGTATTGTTTTCTCCTTGGTAATTCCGACTTGGTAGAATTGGCTAATGAAACATCTGCAAATAAACAGTCAAGCTCAGAGAGCACAAATATACACAGCTTTTATTCTATAGCAAGCAAGGTTTACATTTTCCCTTTGGTTTGGTGATATGATGGAGAGTTGGGGAAAGCATAGCTTGCAATCTCACAGAACTGAGCTCCACATGTTAGCTCGTCTCCATTAGGAGCTTTCTATGCTGGAATCTCTCAAACTCAGTGGACTTGCAAGCTGGGGAGAAAAATGGATCCAGACTCAAGGCTGAGGTCCAGAGTCTACACATCTGTTTCAAAGGTTTAACTAGTAAAGACCTCTACTTTTGTTCTGTCATTTTCATGACACGCTATATTCTGCCTCTTGTTTAGAAGCTGGTATCTTGACACTGCTTATTATTGAGATTTACTGTATTTCAAAAAATAGTTGAGAGTCAATGATTTCAGTGTTTTTTTTAAATACCCTGCAATTAATGTGTTCACTTCTGTGCTTCTCTACAATAGGTTATTTATTTTTAAAAGCAGAAAGCATAGGACTAGCATTCCCAAGCTTTCTTTCAAGAAGGCTAGCATATATATGCTTCTGAGAAAGTATGGATAAGAAATACACACAATAATAATAATAATACATGTTTGTATTGCGCTTGTCACATACACAAAAATTTCTCCTAGTTTGCTACCTATGTTTGAAAAAACCTTCCTATATATTATGGGATTTGTGCAGCACTGAGGCAAATGAGAGTTTTGATTACATGCTCACAAACATATCTTGGCCTTATATATTTCTTTTTTAAAAGACTCTGTTCCCATCTCTAATTGAAACTGTTAGTATTAATTCATTTTTTTTCTTTATCCCACTGCAATCCACAATCTGATTGGTTGGCAGGTCACACTGGCACTCCTACCTGAGGTATTTTAGCGCTAATGATTGGTTCCTGTAAGACTATTCTATAACAGAACACAGGAAGAGCAATTCAAAAACACAGCTGTGGAGGGAAACAATCACACACACACACACACACACACACACACACACACACACAAACCCAGCAAAGGGCTTACCAGCCTTTTCTTTCCTTAGGATGCAAGCACATGTTTCACCGAAAGGTTTGGCCCTTTAGGATGACTGCTTTTGTGAAATAAATAAACCACACTAGTGGAAGCTGTGATCAAAGCTGTTACTTCCCACACTTACCCTCTGCACCCTGGGCCTGCATTTTTAATGCCAGGGAGCAATAAATCTTTAGATTGAAAATAAAATAGTTAGGGAAGTTTGCCCCAGAAAAGAAAAGGAAGACAAGGATAAGAAAATGATAGAAAAGCAAAAGATGTAAGTAAAACCTGAGACGACTGTTTTCTCCTTCTACCTTCATATCATCTCAGTTCCATATGTTGCTATTAACTGAGTTTCATGAGAACAATTTCGTTTAAACCTTCCTTTATTCCTGCTTTTAAGAAATGCTTTCTTCATTTCTCCCACAATAGTGACTTTCCCACAGAGGCGAGAAAATGAATTGCTGGTGAATTATTATGGAGAAACAGCACCCATTTGATACATGCCAATTAAAACAGCAGAAAACAGATGGCTTAAGAGTCAATGACCGAGATGTCACTATTATCGTTCATTTTAGTTAGCAATGAAAAGCAATGGAGAAAGTTTGGTTCATCCACCTTGAGAGATGAATTTATTCTTACCAGTCTCAAAGAATGACATATCTATTTAAATATTTTTTGAAATTATAATTTTAAACCTTAAGTAAATATCAAGGATATTTCTTAATAGGGGACATTGTGCTAGGGTTGGGGAATTATCCAGCTGTATACTTATTATATTGCATTAAAGCACAACTCAAGAGATGTCCTCCATTTGTTTATATTCTCACTGCATCTCCTCTGTATAAGATAATAATTCAGCAGTGCTGGGGAAAGGGGGAACAATAGTTATTTTTTTTTCTATACAAATGACATAATGTAAATATATTACATTCATTATATCATCACAAAGATCCTGTCTGTTCTCTTCCAGTGACATCATAATTAGAATTATATTTTAAATTTAGTGAAAACTTTGCCATTTGGTATTTTAGCTTATCTAACAAATTTATAAAGTATTCTTTATTTATTATTCTTTTGACCACCAAATATCTACAGATTTCTAGGTAGTAAATAGATAGTTTTTAGCTGCCTATATGTTGATTTAGAGCCGGCATTTGTTAAATTCTAAATCTTGCCTAATTTGAGGACTTCTGTATGTGTTGGACTACAATTCCTATAAATCCCAGCCAGCATGGGCATGGCCAAAGTCAGTGTAATCTGGAAGGCATCAACAGGGGAAGCCTGGTATAAGGACTGCTGTGAACTACACCAGCTGATTGAGGAGGTACAAGAAAATACTCTTTCAAAGCCATTTTTTTGACCCAGGGGAACAAAGTAAGGACATGATATATGCATAATCATCTTTAGGAGATAGTGTCAAAATGCTAACCAAAACATTTACTATTTATTTATTTACACTTGGGTATAATATTTAACATGTTATAAAAGGCCCATAAATTCACCTATATATGTTTGTGGACCTTGAGTTCCCTTAGATTTCAATCCCTACATAAATTTTCAAAGATCTCAAGAAAAGAAAGAAATAGATAAAGAAAAGGAAAGATCTGAGGCAAAATCAACATTTTTATTTTGAGCAACCAAATTATGCCAATTAAAAGGGCAATGATGGAAATTTTAATTTGCTAATTGTATCTTAGGCTGATTAGAACTACACTGTACCTTTGTGAGAAGAATACTCAGTATATTGAACCTGGCAATGGTCAAAAAACCTAGCTCAGGTTTGCACTGAGGGTTAAGTGCAATAATAAGAAACATGCTTGCATTCTTTAATATATAATATGTGTGTGTATATATATTTATATATATGTATATACAGGGAAGAAAATTAAAGAAAATTATATTTTGAAACACAAAATTAAATCAAAAACATCATCATCATCATCATCATCAATTACAAGAACAGCAACAACAACAATAAAAAAAAAGGCTGGCTTGTCATGGGTTGGAGATGAGAAGGCTCCAGTGTATGTACTTACATAGAGGTCAGCACCGTAAAATCCGTCCTGGTAAACCACACTGCAGAAAATCCACATAAAAACAAAACAAAAAACAAAAAAAACAAAAAAAAAACAAAAAAGAACAGAAAACACATTCCGGTTATTGAGGACGGCAGCATGCACATGCATTTTACACAGGCGGGTGATGTATGAATCCATAACCTGGGCTTTCGGGCAGGAGCAAATCAGCAGAGTTTGTGTTTGCGCACGCACGCTAGACAGCTCCATATCATCTTCCATGGCATGCAGGCGGGCAGAAGGGCAGACAGTATGCAAAGGGGGGATGGGGAGAAAACAACCTTTATGCTGTACAATAGAGTGTTGTTGGGTTTTTTTAAAGAAAAAAATATCAATGTTTTGAAGAAGAGAAATACAACTTGAAAAACCTCGACTTTAGTTATTAACCTGGAAAGGCTTTAATTAACCCTCTAAACAAATGAATCAACTGCTTTCATGTAACGGGCTCCAAGTAGAACAAGCAAGGTCATTGGGAGTAGTTCATCCAGTGCTGGGGTCCACCTAGATCAAAAACACACCAAAAGTTGTGTACTCATCTGCATCTTGCAGCCTTGTGTGATTACTTCTGATATCCATACATCACCTATTTTGTTTTGTTTTTTAGACATGCAATAAATTTTGGCCGATCACACAAGCATGCAAATTATTATTATTTAGCATCTAAAAGTACTGATTCATCCTCAGAGTAAAAACCCCGAATCATTCAATTCTGATCAAAGTAAGCAAAAATAAATCTAATAAAAATACCCACAATGCATTGCTTTCACAAGCAGAGATCATGAACTAAAAGGGTTAGGCAATTGATCCAAGGCTGCAGAACTGGAAAAATAAGAAAGGGGGTTCCCTGGATGGATAGCAATGATACATTCTGCAGAGACACCAACACCTAGCTCCCTTTCAAATCTAACAGCTACTAAATAGTTTGTTCTAGCACATCCAGAATGAAATGAACTGTGAAATTACTACAACTTATTGGAACATTTCATAGAGTAATGTGCTTTATGTTGATAGGGCAAAAGATAAGGGAAAGATAAGAAAGGAAAAGAGAGCTTGCCACAGCCCTGGTTATGAATGCATGCTTTGCACAGCTTTCTGTAACTTTAATCATTTGATAGATGAATGCTAAATCACTCATATTAAAAAGCATTAGTTCCCCATATATGAGAGCCTTGTGTATATGTATCTGGCTTACCAGTTAATGTAATCACAGGCTAGGAGACAATATTACTTGTAATTTTTTTCCATATGCCAACTGGAGTGCAAAATGATGCCAAGCTTCTCTCACACTGATCAGAACACACCCACCTATAGGAAGTTACAAACAACAAGGCTAGGATAGCTTGGCTATAAATTTGCTTTATAATCATCAGATTTCTACAGTGATGCAAGCTTAAGTTATTAAACTAATCATGCAGCATTGCACTCCACTACAATTTTAAACTACAAAAACATAGCTGATAAGCATAAATATACTCAATGAAAATTTACTGTAGGAAAGTGATGTCAATTCAGTAGGGAGAGTATGCCATTTATAATATTGATTACAGTGGGGAGGCAAAAACGGGGATCTTTTTTATTGGGGTGCTTTGAATTTATAAATCCCATATTGTAAAATTGGTAAGTTTGTAAGATGAATTTCAGGTTTTGAAGCTTACATAAACACCTCTTTTCTTGCTGTTAATCACATGGAGAAATATAAATATTTACTTGTATTGAGTACGAACCACCAAACCAAACTGGTACTAGACTATAAGGAAGTCTATTCCTTTCCTCCTCATCTTTTATCTGGATTGGGACTTTCCTTTATAATAATTTTATTACAAATATTATAATAATAAATATTATAAATATTATAAATTCTATTATAATTTTATCTGGATTCAGACTTCTATTTTTATTGTTTTAGAGATATTTATATGTTATGATTTTAATGTTTTAGGCTGTAAGCCAAACAGTCATTTTGTTATGAGATGGGCAACAAATAAAGTTAATAAATAAAATTTAAAAAATATTAATAAAATAAAATAAAATAAAAATAAATATCTTGAAAAGAGTTAAATATCCTGAAGATTATTAAAGGGTTATCCCGAGGATCATTTTTGAGAGCAGATTATTAAACTATCTTCAACTGAAATATTCAATTTAAATACCATTGCGGTTAAAAAAAAATGCAAAACTCCAATGAACTAGGTTTCTTTTCTAGGAATATTTTAGCTGTTATTATAAGGAATAATTACAATTTTAGTTGGAAGTTTATAACTTACTATATCTGGGTAGCAACAATTAGGCATTAAATGGTACCCCATGAATGCTATGTGATTCATGGAAGCTATTCTAATGAACATGGAAGCTATTCTAATGAACAGCAATTCTACCTATGCAAATCATGGAGGATGCTGCATGCAGATACATGTTACTTTATGTGGTAGAATCATAAAATATATTTATATAAACAATGGGAGAAGGGGATATACAGAAAATAACTATCTAGTAACTGCCCAGTGTTTATAGCCATGCTAGACTGTTCGGTTATTAAGATTTTATGACAGATCTAGCATAATCTGGAGTATTTCAGCAAATAACCCCCCCATTAATGTATAATTCTAATTAAAAGAGGAGTGATCAGTATCCAACTATCTCTTGGTATTTTCTTTTCTGCTTAGATTTGTTCCAAGAAAGACTAGAATCTAGTTTTTCATTTTTAATACAAATGAAATGTTAGAATTAAAACTGACAACAGAGATACTGGAATCTTGTCAGTCTTGAAAACATGCTTAAAATAATAAAACAACAATGCCTTTGGAATGATAAGATCATCTTACTGCTAAGCTGTCATGTTACTGAAACTTTTAAAATCTAAGGAAGCAATATGCTGCTTAACCTGGTTTGTTTGTTTTTTATTCTAGTTTAAACAAAAACTATTCTACATTACATGTCTGCTCAATCTTTGTTTAACCCTTCTCAAAACATCTCTAATCAAGAAAGCAAATCCATTGTGGGTAACTGTTCTGTTCTGACCAATTTACAGACATTGTATGATGAAGCTAACAAAAAATGCTTGTCAGTCCGGGTAATTCAATGAAATTGGACTTCAGTGAACAAGAAGTGGCCTCCCTCCACAGACTCTACACCTTTTAGGAAACTCTTTTTATAAAAATGTTCCTCCATTATTCCCAGATTATTTTGTGCTGCCAAAATATTGTTGCAAGCTACAATTGGCACATTATTTTTGAACATTTTTTTTCACTGTTGCCTTGCCAATTTAATGAAACATTCTTTCTGGTCATAAATGTAAGTTTTAGATTGCCTTTCTCAAGTATGATGTAGTGCAGAGTGTTATAGGGTTGGCACCTCCTGTCCCTATTTTCAATCCATTGAATGTCCTATTCTGAAGATCCCTGCTGGATAGTTTTCCATTCTTACCCTGGGTAAGCTGGGATGGCTGTTGGAGGTACTGCTCGTACCGCACCATACACTGTCCTTCCTCGTCCTCTCAGATGGGCTCCCCTAAATGCTGCCGCTGTGGTGGCTGCAGTTGGGTAAGGGAAGCTGGGTACTGTGAAGACAGACAGACAAGGAAAAATATGAGAAGAATCAGTTCCTCTGCCCAGTCAATTACAATCACATTTAACTAGGCTTATGCACAGCTCCAGAGAGGTGGGATGTTCTGCACCTGTCCTGCGAAAGATCATGCTTAGAGCTCTGAAGCCTCACATATCTCTTTCTATGACATGATCTTGAAGGAAAGGTAGGGTTGCAGAGAGGCCTAGCATGCAGGAGATTAACATTGTGTCATGCCTTCATCACAAACTGCAAACTGTTTCCCTTTTTCCTCCACCCCATTTTGATATTGCCATGCAGTCTGGTTAGAAAGTCTGAGAAGCACATAGAGTTACTACTAATACAGGCAGGTAATAACTCTTCTATTTACTTGGAATGAGAATGCTTAAAATGCTTTTTTCATAATAAGCTTAATCTTGGGAAGTGTGTGTGTGTGTGTGTGTGTGTGTGTGTGTGAGTATTTCTCCTTCCAACTCATTTTTTCCATCAGATGTCATTTAAATATAAAACGAACAAAACATCCTAATGAAGGCAGCCATAATTAATGAAGAGGTTTACCAAGTTTACCAAGAACCTACCTTCTGGCAAAGGTGACCATTAAGTGGTTCATCTATATTGGGCCCTGTTTTATTACACATCATGCTGGAGTAAACTGGCCCAGGGCAAAATGATATTGAAACCTCAGAAGGTGGCTGGGAACACAATGTAATAAAGGGATGCTTAGATGGCACCAGTCAGTCACAAGGCAAAATGAACTCAAGGTGCTTCTAAGAGCATGCCACAAGGGGGCTTGCAGTGGACTCACAGTTTAGTAGCAAGAATAACATGTACTTTGGAGTGCGGCCTGTTACATTGCTAAAGCCAAGACAATTGGATCTTCCACTCCCTCCCATATAGATTTATAGCAGCCTTATCACACGAAGAAACCCCAGCCATAAACAGGCTTGTAAAATGCATTGCAAGAAGGGATGAATCATTCCCACTGCTCAAAGAAGTAGCATTTCTTTCTGCCGAGGCCCATCCTTTCAAGTACATATTATACAAACTGGAAAGAAGAGGGCAAACAGATCACTGTTTACTCAAGCACAGTAACAATACAGGGGCCAATAGGGGCTACTTACTGATTAAAGGAATGTAAGTGTTAATACCCCCCCTTCCTGACAGGGGCACTGCAGCGTCATTGCCCAGCGAGACATCTGCTTGAAAACTGGATGCTAATTTAATTTTAAAAAGAATAAAAAATGTAAAAAGGTTATAAAGAAACAGCAGATTGAGAACATAAAATCACCACTGCAGTCAAATGGCAGAAATAGAAGAATCAATATTAAATTCTACCTGCATATAATTCAGGTCCATATACTGCTCCAACTACAGGACTCAATTTCCAACCTGAAAAAAATAAAAACAGCTGTGAGCAGCTAGACTTTCCATCAGTGAGGTAGCAAACAAACAGGTATATGAATACAGATATAGTCTATCTTCTAGTAATTATTACCTCACTTTCATACAGATTGTTCCTAGGCATAAAAACAGGCTACATTTTCCAGATTTCTTGTGTTCTGGACATAAGTGGAGGAGAAAATACAAATCACTAATGCTTTCTGAGAAATCCTTCCCACAGTCTCAAAATGAAGCTTACACTGCATTGTGGTTTTTCTTCCTTTCCTTTTTAAAGTCTGTGGTTGTAGTGAAAGATCAAATGAAAAATTTGAAGCCACATAGGAATGACTGTGTTATTTATGAAATTAGAACCTTTTAACATATCTCTGAACATCAATTAAGGAAAGGTTCCACAATACTGAGGATACTGGTGAATGTTTGAAGGGAATGAGAGGAATGCCTGTCTTAGAAGTCATCATACATCCACCCAAATGTGAAAGGACCACAACCAAAGAACATATTTTAAATTTATGGTGTACAATTCTTAGGATTTGCCCAGATTATATATATTTTCTTCTTTTGAGAGGGGGTATCAGAATTTCATTTAATATGTGCCACTGTGTATACAGAAAAGTGACAATAAATGTTATCTTATCTTATTTTATTTGACCTTGATAAGGCAGATGCATCTGCTAATCAAGAGACACTTTCTATTACTTTCTCTATCAAGACAATGAAATCTATAAAAAACAATAGCTAATCAAGTTGAGACTCAATGAAGTCTTCTGCAAAGTGAATAGAGTTAAAAATAAAAGTGATGAAGGGATTTGAGCTGCAACTGAGGCAAATGAATACTAGAAACAATATTTTAGAGACTAATATGAATATGATAATGGCATTGAAATGAATGCTATAAATGTTATTGCAAAAATAATGAAAACAAAATCATAAAAAGTATGAGACTGTTTAAAAATGGTAAAAGTGCAAGTATGAAACCAGAGAAATGTTAAAATGTGGGTGTGGCTTATTTATGAAGTGGCAGTATATGTTGTTTTAATGCAGACATGTCAAACTCGCGACTTCACGTGACATCGTGCAATGTATCGGAACTTTTTCCCCATTGCCGAAAATGGGGTGGGCGCAGTTTCGTCGTGACGCGTCCGGCCCATGGGCCGGCAGTTTGACACCCCTGTTTTAATGTATTGGTGAAGATCACATCTGCACCTGACAATTAGACCAAAACAGATGAAAAGGTAAAAAGAGTGAATAACAAAAATTACAAGAAAATTAGTCTATCAAATGTATCTTGGAATGGAAAACTGCTTGGCAGAATTCTCACTGAAAGGTAGCTAGAGCTGACAAGGAACAACATTAGTGGTGTGACTTTATACTGGGCAAGTAGGGTGTGCACTAAATTTTTGTTCTTCAAAATGTCATTTAGAATTGTATGAAGGTGAGAAAGATTTAGAGAAACCATATGACAAAGTGAATAGGCTTTAATTACGGAACATTTTGTGTGATGAATTAGAAGAATGATTGCTTAATGCAGTAAGAGTGCCATACAATGAAAGACTTAACATGCCTGAAAATAAATGAATTGCTTAGCAAATGGTTCATCATCAAATAGAGTGTAACCATCGCCTTGCTTGTTTAATGTTTTCATGGATAATGTACACTTATAATGTTGGGCTGTTTGGAGATATGAATGTGTGTAGTATGCAGACAATGCCATGTTGTTAGTCAAGAACCGAAATGATTTGCAATAAAAGTTAGATCAAATGTATGAGGTAGAGAAGTGAACAGATTTGAAATTTCTGAACAATGAACAAAGGAGCTCTGTTTAACAAGGAAAATGAATGAGTAATTACAAAAAATACAGCAAATAGAGGAATGAATGCTCCTTGGAAGAATGTTTTGTAAAAATGCGGAAATGGTTGGAGACATTTTAAGATGTACGAATGCTGACAGACAGATGGTAGAAAGCACATGGTCTGCTCAAAAGAATGAAATTTGTAAAAATAAGTGAAAATGGCTGTGTGTGGGAGTAATCTTCTGCGCACTTGTTATGTAGAAATGAGAGTTGAGTATATGAGGAAAAACAAATTAAACTGAATACAGTGGGAAAGGGTTATTTAGAAAATATGTGCTCTGTAGTGAAGCAGTCAGTCAAGAATGAACAAGTAATGAATTAATGTGGAATGAGTACAAAAGTGAGTAGATAATGCAAAAAAATAACTCTGAGAGGTGATTTGGCATTACAGAGAGAATGAATAAGGGCTGAATCATAAAACAAATATATGAAAGAAGAATTAATTTGTTGAGAGGAAGGGGAAACTGAAGAAATATATGGTTGGAAGTTGTCAAAAAGAACAAAAAAAGAGGAAAAGGTGAGAAATGAAAGAAACAGAGGCATTACATGAGTCGGTAAATGGACAAGATGGAAGCAAGAATAGTTTGCAAATATAAAGATATAAAGGAATACAATGAATGGTGTTTGTATAATGTAGATTTAGTTAATTTCCTTTTACAATTATCTTATATCTTTAATTTATTTTGCCTTTCTTCTTTTTCTGTATTTTACATGATATTGCTACCCTAAAGGAGAATAGCACGATAGGTGTGCATGTATATAGGCAAAAGCAAATTGTGCAGATACAGGTAGTCCTCGAGTTGCGACCAATTGTTTAACCATTGTTCAAAGTTATAATAACTTGGAAAGAATGCTTTAGGGTCCAGCACTTAAAGCTCAAATCTTCGGGATCCCAACTTTGCCTCTCCAGCCCAGTGAATGAGTTCCTTTCCGCACACTCCTTTGATCCATCCACTTAACAATCAAAACTAAAAGAGCTGGGATCACAGTCATTGAACAAAGTAGTCATGTGGGCATCTCACTTAATGACACTTCACTGAGCAACAGAGATCCCATCACAATAGTCGAGTACTATTGTGTAAGTCGAGGACTACCTGTAGCTTTCTTTTTAAATCACAAGTTGACTATTCTTTTTCCTATGATTCATCAGTAGGAGGCAGCCTCCTTAAAAATGCAAGACAAATGTAAATGAATATAAATGCATCCTTTGTCTATCTCTGTTAATCACTTCCCATTTTAAAAGCATCCAAAAACCCTCTATCACTTGTGCATACATATCAGTTAGAGCACAGTCACTATGTATTAATAATAGTGGAGATATCTATATTGGTCACTTCTCTCCAATTCATTAGGAAGTTACAAAACCAAATTTTTAAAGTGATTTCCTAAAGCCAAAGTATTTTATCCATATTTAAGGGCTCAAATAAGTGCCCTGTTTCTCAAGATATTTTCAAGAACTCTTTTCTACCTCTTAACAATCTGTTAGGTATTTCAATTATCTGTATCTATAAAGAAACAATTTTCTCAAATTATTCTGAAATATCAAAGGGAAACTTAATTCTTATGCCTAAAAGGGTTCCTCCATTCGTTTCTTAGCCTTGTCACTTTGTCTTACCGTTTGCATAAGGGGTGACCATTTTCTTATTAGTCATTACTCGTGCAGTGGCATTATTAACCTAAAAATTAAAAGGGAAAGGGGAAGAGAGGGAAGGAAGAACAACACTTTAGAGAAAATGTTGGAAATCTTTCAGAATTTTTTTAGACAAAATACTTTTTTAAAAATCAGCACAATGAAATTTACTTTTACAGGTTGTCTTTATAGATTATAATTATAAACATATCTAATTTTTTGTATTTTAATTATGCATCAAAGAAAAGGCTAAAAAGAGCAGATTTTCTCAGGCATCCCTGCCAGCTTTGACTTCACTATTTGATGCTCACTAGTTCAGGGGCAAAATCTCTTCCATTGCTATTTTTTTGTGTCCAGTTTGACTGGCATGAAACAGAAACAAAAATAACCTTATCTGATCCATTAGTAGACTTTCATTGAACTGCAGTGGTCTACTAATATTACAAAAAAACCTCTGCTGCAATTTGGGCAGAAGAATTTATCCCCAGGTGTCTGGGATTAAGCTGCTTTTCTATTAAGGGAATTTGCATTCCACAGCAGCCCTGCTTGGCCCGTATCTCAATTTTGGAGTACTGTATCTTGAGAGGCCATCAACCTAGCTGCTGATTTGTCAGGAGAAAAATGACCACCACTAGAAATGTATGCAGTGTGTCCTGATTCCCCCCCCCTTTTTTTTAGCTTCCTTCACTGTAACTACTGAGCTGTTCATTGCTCAAGCTTTCTAAGCACTGCAACAAATGAATGTTGCAGCACAAATGATGCTAGTAAAACACTGGTGGGGTGGGTAAAGCCAAACAATGGCAACCCTGTGTCAAACATAGTCACAGAGTCTTGCAGAGAGTGAAGGTAGAGGTAGAATCAGTAACGTTTCAAAATCCTGCTCCCAATGGAAGAAAAAGCCTCATGCGAACTTCAAGATCAAGAAAAGGATGGTTCAAAGGCCCTCTGAACTTTAAAACAAAAGTGAGCTTGGGCAGGGAAGAAGGGAGCCTGGAATCTCAACACTCTATTTTTAGCCCTCCTGACAGCCCCCCTCCCCATATAAACATTACACATTAAAAAAAGGGGGGGGAGACAACAACAATGAGACTGAAAGCATGCTGTTAAAACACACATAAAAAGAAAAACAACAATTGATTAATGGGGATAGGAAGAGGTCTCACAGACAATCATTAAGATGGAGCAAGTGCCTGAAATCAACTGCTACAGCAGAATGCAATGCAAGCACTTAAAGGAAAAATGGGCAAAACCAATCAGAAATCACCAATCAGCAAAGACCAACAGCTGTATTTAACTAAGTGAAGAAAAATGGCAAGTGAGGAAAGGAGAACAATCATAGGTCCAAAGAGAGGGAATGCAGAAAAGACATGGCGGAGGGAGGGAGGAGATGGATAGGCAAAAATGAAAAGTGTATGGGTGCATTAATAAAACCAGCCAAAACTGGAGTTCAGTAACTCTGAGTAAGATGTGCAAGGAAAATTACTGGAAAGCCAGTAATCAGCTCAGACTTAAACAAAATGGTATGTACATCCAAAATCCAGGTGGCATTACTCAAGAGCATTGAAAATAAAAGGGTGGGAGAGAAGAAAAAGGAAAGGGGGGGGAGACAACAAGTCAAATCACATTTTGTAGTGTTAATGTGAAATGGCAGATGGATTTTTTCTTTCTTAATTTTTTTTGTTTTGCATAAAAGAAAAGAAAAGAAGTAAGCTTCTCCTCTAGCACTTTGATTTCACTTACCGCCAACTCGTACCATCGCCAGCATTGTGTATAGTTACCATGGAAAGAGTGAGTCAAGTGAAGGGCCCTAAACACTAAACCATTAAAAAGGGAAATAAAACAAAAACAAAACAAAAAACAAAACAAAAAAGCAAAATATGCAGACATCTTACTCAAAACGGCGGCTTTAATTTTTTCCTTATATTTAGTATTTTTTTCCTTTAAAAAGAAAGAACAAAAAGGGGCCAGTTAGCCTTCTATATGAGGGAACAGCAAATTCATCACTAAGATGTTACCTCTCATCTAGGTAACCCAAACAGTTTGTGCTTATCACACTCTATAGTCATTGGAATTAATTATGGGATGCATATTTCTTAATTTGAAATACATTTACATAGATATTTCAATGGCTCAAGTTCTTCCTGATTTCTCCATCCACCCCTTCCCAATATATTATTTTCACACTCATATGGAGGAGAACTGGCCTCTGAATCAAGGGCAGATATTGGCTGCCCCCCCTTCTTTCTTGTTAGATACCAAGTGACAAATGGGACTGTGCTCATTTTGTTAGTTTTGATCTGGCTTGGAAGTTGGAGCCTCATTAACTGAAGCAAAGGAAAATCAAGACAGCAGAAGGGCAAAAAATTTGGAGTGTGTTGGAAACAAACTTAAGAGAAAGGAAAACAAAGACAAAGAAAAATAACAAAAATAACAAAAATATATAGATATATATATATATTGGGAGGTTATTTTATACACTTCAGTGCAGGGGACGGGAGTGAAAAACACGGGACACAAACACACACACACGCACTGGACAGGAATCCCAATGTGAAATCAGTGAGGCAAGACACAAAAAGGAAACCAAAGAAGAAATATAAAGAAGAAATTGAATTACTGAAGACATGCACCTCGATTTTACGGCCCTCTACCACGGTGCCGTGTAATTTCTCCCTGGCCCTGTCTGCATCAGCACTATTCTCGAAAGTTACGAACCCGAATCCCTGCATGCAGCGGGAGAAGGGGGAAAACATGCACATCGTTATATATTGAAATACTGATATCTAGATAGAGAAAAAAATATCACAGTATGAAATTGACATCAGCACAACTTAGCAATACTCTCCTAGAGTCACATTTTTGGTTCATGCATGTTTCATGAAAGAATTTCAATTAAAAAAATAACTTTAATCACATTGAAAATAATAAAAACATAAAAGCAATTGAGGCCAGACCAAAAAAAGCATAGTTACTCGAGACATATTCTAAAAAATAAACTAGCTCCAAGATTGATCAAATGCAATGAATTAAAACCTGGAAAGAAATCTTGCCACAAATGACTGTTCATGTGTTCTCTTTTACAGCATTCTCAATAATTTCCTTTCATATGACAAGGACAGGCACAGGAAGATGCTCTGAAGAAAATTTACCAAAAGGAGGAGTGATATGTGTGACAGTTCTAACTGGTCTATTATTTTATGACTAGTATTAATATATGTTTTTGACAATAAATAAATATATGGGGGACAAAAACAAGTGTGTGTGCGTGTGTGTCACATTATATGTAGAATTTTAACAATGTCTTGGACATCTTTTCTTCTGTCACACTGTTTATCTTAATCCCTAGGTTGCTTATCCCTATTAACAGTAGTTATTAATAATACCATAATATAGGAACAGATACTCTGGCTCACTGAAAAAAAAATCCTTAATCCTTATTAGGTATAAAGCATAGCCGCTTTATACCTAATAAATTGTTTCCATGCTTGGCTTCTTCACTCAAAAAAACAATAAGTGAAGCATTGTTTTTCACAGATTGTTGAAGCTTTATGTTATAGAATTAGTGCTTTAATGAGGTTGAACAACACTTTCTAATGGAAGAGAACAAAATTAAATAGAGCACATCATAAAACGATACAGTCTAACGACTTAGTGTAAAGATGGAAAGATTGCTTCTTTGTTCAGCTTGTTTTTGAAAGTTTAGGATTTAGTTAAGGATCCAGATTGCTTCTTCATCCAAGCAATAAATAACCTACTCCTACTTAACTTTAAAAATGCCTCAGTAAGTGCTTCAGTCACAAAAATGTATAGATTTACCTTAATAAATGCCAAGGTAAAATGCCACCAGTTATGAAACATAGTTAATCTTAATCTTTGCTAATTTAATTGCTATTAAGACAGAAATATTTATTTAATCAAGGTTCTACTCTACATAAGTCTTTTTTCCCCAAAGTACAAATATATTCAATTGGATTTATTAACAGACTCATATAATCATACTACAGTAGGACATTTAAGATCTAACCCTATACTTATTTTCAAGAAACGGAAGTATGTATGCTTCATGTAATAAAAATATGCAGTAGCTGGATAAATATTTTCAGACAGAGGAAAAAGTGGTAAGTAGCTCATGGTTTTTAAATTGATCTTGAAGGTATTGTAACAAGAATTTGTTCGGGCCCAATATTCATCATTAACAATAGTGTTACATATACTGAATTTTCAGTTAGGTCCCCTATGATAAGCTATATATATTTGTGAAGTTCATTGCTGTAGAATCAACATTCAAGAAATAGGGTAAAGAACTTACTCCTATTGGCCAGTATAACATTTTCCCCCTGTTTTGTTCCTCAAATACAGACTTTTACATTCTTTGGAAGATCACCTTCCACTATTGTAAATTTGTCTACTACATTAACTAGGTGAAAATTATGCTTATTGAGGAATTTTGTGGATTTTTGCTATGTCATGATTAGGAAAATGTGAATTATTAGAACTGATAAGACTCAAAACTCCAAGAATTTAGCAAGTGCATATTCTCTGCAAAATGAAATAATTGCCTTAAAAGTTCCCCCTTCCCAGGTCTACATAGATTACGAACAGTAATTACAAAGTGAGCTACATCTTTAACACTTCTCTATATTTTTCAAGCACATTACATTTTGCACCAGGTGTTACAAATCTGTGAAAAACATGAAGATTTGTCTTAATGGACATGATTCCAGTATTATCACTGCTGGCAAAAATCAAACATATAGTGCAAAAAAACTTTAGTGCAATTTGTTTCACAGGGTTGTTATGAAGCTATATCTATTACATGAGTACACATTTTACTTAGTATTATTTTACTACACTTCTAAACATTTTTACAACTTCATCCTAAACACATGACACAGAACCTTTGACCATAAAGTTATTGAACTCCTTTGAATTTTGCTTAGTCCTTGTAAAAAGTGTCAAGTAATAAAAATAAGTATTGGTTTGTTGCTGTTCTCCAGAAATGCACAGGACAACAACCAAGTCCAGAAAATGCCAAAACCCCAACAATTCATTTCTGAGCTACAAATAATTTCTAGTATCGGAAATAGAGTATATGTCATACAAAATACATACTTTCCTTTAAAGATAAAATTGATTTTATCCTCCCTAAGCATAGCCCCATCATACCGAAGCAGTATTTTAGCACTGGATTAAAATTTTCAATATCTCACAGTTCAGAAAGGAAAAAGGAACATAATATAATTAGCTCAATAAGGGTATGTACTTTTATAATTATTCCTGCTAACCTGTTATAATTCGATTTGCTGATAGTTTTGAGACTGAATTGTTTTTATTATGCAACTTTGATTTTAGTTTGGAAACAATACCCAGTCCATTTAACTTCTAACCGTATTAAAATCCTCAAAAACGTTCAAAACAACCTGCAGCCCAAGAGCACCCTCTTTTCTTTACAGAGCTGTTCTCAAGAACCCTGAAGAAACCGAGTAACTGTCACCTTTTTAGTCTGGCCTCAGATTCTGCAATAAATAACAAGCAACAGGATGAGCAGTGTAAAATAATAATTGTACAGAGTTTTTTTTAAATGTTTCCATCTCTGAAGAATGAGAAAGAAAATTTACCATGTAACCGTAAAGGGAGAAATCAAAAGCAGACGATTCTCCTGGGTGTGGCCAGAACACAGAAATTAAGGGAAAAATAATCAAAATAAAACAAGAAAAAAAAACAAAAAAACAAAAAAATAAATGAAATAAATTCAAAGGAAACTAAAAGGAGCCCCTTGAAATCCATGCATTGTTAACACTTTTTTCCCCACTGTGTTTAGAACATTGACTTCAGAAGCAGCATCTTTATCTCAAGGTGTTGGGACTTTCCATAATTTCAATTGTTAATATATATATATATGTATACACGCATATACAAAGAGGCATTTTTTAAAAAAAAAATTCAGTCAACAGCCAGAAGCCTGGACAAATGGAACAACAACAAAAATAAAGAAAGAAATAAACATAAAAATCCAGGCTTTCGGGTTATTTGCTCTCAAAGTCAATATACAATAATCCATCTGAGATGAGTGATTAAAATAAATTCCAGAAAAAATATCCTAATGTTGTTTAAAGTAAGGACACTATTCTTTAAGATCTGAAAAAACAGTTATGGAATTTTTACCTAGAATTACTTTGCATAGGTTGAACCAGAATGCATATTTTGTAGCTATTTAACTGGACTGGTCAAAACAATTTTATGTACATATGCTGAAATTTAAAATGGAGTTGTTTAAAAATATGGCAATTTTAAAAAAAAAAATGCTTTTCAACATAAGAGAAAAGTATTTTTGCTGTCCAAAATATTTTTTTAAAATGTGAGGACATATAAAATAGGATTATCACTGCATCTGTTAAGAAAACAGAGCAATCAATGTTAAATGAAATTTAGAGTGATAAAATAGGATTTTGTTACTAGATCAGTTAAATTAAGTCTTAGCATACAATCTCTCATTTCTTAAAATCACTTATTTTTAAAATTACTGGATTTTATAGCTGAGTATATGGCCCTTACTAGTTCTCTAAGCAGCTTTAGGAACTGTTCTACTCTTCCCTACTCTAAGTAGCTTTAGGAACTACTCTACTTTTCCCCATTGCATCAACTGGGTAGTGAAATCACTACAGCTGTTTTCCCACTATTAATTGCAACAGAAACATCAGCCTCATTGGGAGGGAAGTCCCTTCCATTGATATAGACATTCAATGCCATTGTTTCCTTGCTGCTTATTACCGGGTTTCCCAACCCGAAACTAAGCCCTAGCTTGATTTTTCAGGGTGGGCCTAATATAAGCCCTACCCCCAAAATAAACCGTAGTTTTGGGCCGAGGCACACACTTAAAAATCAAGCTAGAGCGGGGCTGGGGGGGTGGATATGCCCCACATGCCCCACACTCACTTACCTTGCAGTCAGACCTCTCCTTCTATGGCGTCTTCTGCAGTCAGGCCTGCATTTCGTAGTCACAGGCCTTTCCGGAGAACCAAGCTATGGATTCAATCCATAGCTCGGTTCTGCAAAACCTCTGCAGCTCAGGACTGAGCTATGGATTCAATCCATAGCTCGGTACTCAGCTGCAGAGGCCTTCCAGAAAGACCTATCTCCAAAATGCAGGCCGGAATGCAGCTGCAGAATGAAGCTACTCCGCCACAGAAGAAGTGGGCCATATAGGTGGGGCTGTCGGTGCCGGAGATGAGTAAGACATCCCCCCAAAATAAGACCTGGTGCCTCTTTTGGAGAGGGGAAAAAAAAAAAGACCTGGTCTTATTTTCGGGGAAACACAGTAGTATCTTAAGAGAGAAAACAGAGGAAGCTGAATAAAGCTGTATCTTTCTCATGCTCACTGTTGAGTCTGTTTACCTGAGTGGCCCCTAAAGAATTCTACGAGATCCCACCAACAGAGAATAGGAGGAATAATTTGGGGCTATTCATTATCTTTCAGAGTTGTTGTTGTTGTTGTTGTCAGGATAAAATCAGAGGAAGGGCTACTGTGTACACTGCCTTAAGCATTTGGATGAAAGGCAGTGCACAAACAGAAGAAATAATAATAATTACCACAACAACTGTAACTACAAGGCTTGGTTCAATCATTGTTCTGTTGAAAACTAGACTCATTTGTTAAAATTTGAATGCCACTGATATAAATACTATAGGAGCTTAAACTGGTATTTGCATGGAAACCAAACTAGAAGAAACCATCATATTAACAGCTCCTTTCACTAGGTACAGCTAATGAAACAAGAAAAATGAATGAAAATTAATTAAAAAACAGAAGTCTGAACATAACTGAGATTGTTATATAAATGGCTCAGACACCTTTTTTTTTAGTTTTTCTAACATGCTGCTAGTTATCCAAAATTGTGCCTAAGATAATATTCAAAGTTGATATGCTCATAAAACCATTAACATTTATCAATAAATCTACATAGCAAAAAACTTCCACTCATAACTTTTGTATTCATTCCAAATGATTTTTTACAAGAAAATCGAATACAGCCAATGTGCACAAACACACTTGGCTCTCAAAAATTCCCCATGTCAACAACAGGATGAAAATACATCATCTCATCTCAGATGGACTAAAGGGTAATTTGAAACTCTCAAATTTTCCAACACTGGACATATCTGGCAGAGGGCCTTTGCCACAGTTATGAAAGGATAAAGATCTGCTCATTCCATAGAGGGAATGGGTGTAAGCATACCCAGAGCAATTTGGATTTTACATTTTCACCTTTTAAACATTCACATATTGAAGAATATACCCTTGAGAAACCAGGAAGGGGAAGGGTAATACTGAGAACACAGCACAAGGCAGGCAGCGGGGAGCATCTGCTTTCCGATTCCCAAGAAAGAGGAGGAGGAAAAAGGTTCCATATCATTAGGTTAGAATAGAAACCACAGGGTAGGATACAAGCATTCAAGTTTTGGCATACTTTTTTTTGCAGAAGAAGTGAGTGTATTCACTTCCCAGGGATTTTTCTTAACACGAAGAGGTGACCCTTGGATTCGAAGAAATTTTTACAGGGTTAAGTTATTTTTTACGGTATTTGTGTTTGTGAGAAACCCTTAGGACGAATATGATAAGTGGCACAAATTTTGTCAGAGTAAACTTAGAAACTTAGTGACACTTAAACTGTCCGTTCACAAACTTTAAGAACCACCAAATAGAAAAGAACTTGATCAATGCCTTTATGAGCTAAATATTTACTGGATGAAAGTAAAGGGGCAAATGGCTATCATTTGATCTTAACAGGTTTTGTTTTAGCTGAAAACCAGAAGTTTTGGTTTATTTACTTACAGTTATACTATAATTTATGGAAGATTCCAAACATAAGAACTGAATGGCCTTATGGCTTATTATAGCTTAGCAGTGAACAAGCAGCATACTACGCAGATCATATACACAGGCTCCTCCTGAGAGCAACTACAAATAATGAATTAACAAACAAAACTGTCCATGGTTCGCTTAGTATTCGGCAAATAAGAAAGAAACCACTTTCTATTTTAGCTTTCTGACTCCTTTTGACCTGAAGTCTTTGACTCCTACAACATGCTAAACGAGTCATAGACTGGGTTTATATAATTTGGTATCCTTATATCCAAATTTATATAATTTGGTAGCCTTACTCATCGGAAAAGTTAGTGAGTGTGATCTCAGAAGTATGCACGAGACTGCTGCTCATCCTTCACTAAGAATGAAACATGAAGCAGCCCAGTATATCTGAGTGTGTATTAAAGTAAATGCATTTAAACCCAGATGTACACAACATAAAATTGTAGAGGTATATAATGGCAGACAAAAAAAAATTTTTTTTCAGTATGCTGGCTGGGGAATTCTGAAAGTTGAAGTTTGCACGATTTAAAGTGGTCAAGATTGAAAAACACTTGACCTAAACGGTGCAGAGAACATAGCATATTATTTAGAAATTAAATCACAGCAGATTGCTTGTTAATGGTTGCATAGTTCAAATGGCCAGCCTACAGCACTCTAACCAGTCTCCTGATCATCCCAAAAATGTTTTACATCTCTGGCTTACTTCCCTTTACTGCCACTTCAAAGAGACTAGATATACTGAAGTGTATAGTGTATAGTGCAGTGATGGCGAACCTTCTAGAGACCGAGTGCCCAAACTGCAACCCAAAACCCACTTATGCATCGCCAGGTGCCGGGTGGGTGTGACCCATTGGGTGGGCGTGGCTGCAGTGGTAACGGCAGACTGGGTGGGACTAAAAAGTTCAATCAATCAATTCCAACCTAGCAAGATCTTTTTTTTCCCGCGAGAAGTTGAAATTGACTGATTGATTGTACCTTTCTCTTTTTTTTTGCATACGGCGGCGGAGGCCTAAAGCGAAAAGGTTTTATAAAACCCAGCTAAAGGCCTAGGACTGGGGTGACGGCGCAAGTGCCCACAGAGAGGGCTTTGAGTGCCGCCTCTGGCACCCGTGCCATAGGTTCACCATCACTGGTATAGTGTATAGTGTATAGTGTATAGTGAAGTGTAGTGTAGTGGTCAAACATAATATACTTCTTCATTCAAACATATACAGGGGGTACCTGAGTAATAGAAAGGTTCAGTGCAGATTGCAGCTCTTCACAAATTAAAATAATTATGTGCTGCATCAATTTTACCCTACATCTTTATAAACTAAGCTATGAGATAAATTAGATCCAATACTAAATGGGTATATTGTATGTATTGCATAATGTACAAGTAGTAAATATCACCTCTTTTCTGGTTTTCAGATAAAACATAGGAAATTTGATATGCTAACAACATAATTTTGTACATAAACATCCATTTGGGGCTCTGTGTAGATTATGAATCTCAAAGACAGGATATAAAATATAATACTAACTATGGCCTAAACTATCATGTGGTGGAGTGAGGGTGTGGGACAGATGTTCATTTTTAATAAAAAGTGGAAAACTTAGCATTGATTAAGTCAAGCATAGTAGAGACATGCACTGTGCAAGCTTCCCCCACAGAGCTCTGCCAATGAGCCTTGCTCCTGACCTGAAACACTCCCTGCTATTCCAGTGCTGGACCTACTGGGCAGAGAGAGAATCACATCAATTCTTCAGTGAGGGGACATTGGTTTCATGATGAGAACCGGTTAGGACAAGCAACACTTAAAATTGCTACACTTAGGACTATAAGGTTTCCCATTGGCTCTCAAGAAAGTTTAACTCTTTAAAAAAAAACTTACATCATTCTGAATAGCTTGTATTTGGAACAACTACACCTTTCTAAAAAGCTGGAAGCTTTTGTAGATATTGTAAGATGATGGGCCAACATCCTTGCAACACTGAGGATTATTGCAACATCAGGTGGGCAGATTTTTCTTTCACCACAAGATACCTCTTATCCCATATATAAAATATTTCCAATTTTTTTTACATCGTTTCTTTCCCAAACATTTTAAACTAGCAAAAAATTACATCTTTTTGACTGAAAGTATCGAAGTCACTGGGAAAAATAAGAGTCTTCAAACCTCTTTAGACTAATAAAGTTTCCCTTTTAATATTTTGATAATAACTTCTATAAATAACTAATATATGTTGTGGATATTAATATACCTTACCGTCGAGATCCATTGGGTCACGGATCAAGGAAAAGACAGATATGTCTTATAGATCGAAGGAAGCTGCTTTATCTTGACAATTGGAGTAGACTGGTAAGGGAGAGAAATAGGTAGAGGGTAGATAAAGAAACAAAACTTACCTTGGACCCACGTTCATTGAAGATTATCTCTACATCAAGGATTTTACCAAATTGCTATAAAAAAAGATTTATTTTGGTTCATTAAGCATCCTTTATCTTTCGTGGCTGAGAAAGAAAGGCTTTTGAATGCACAGTTGAAAATATTTTAAAATTAATTAAGACTTAATATTTGTTATTTATTTGTTGAATTTCTTCTGGTTGTCAAGTTTATAAGCCTCACAGTCTTTGATAAATTCTATGTAAAATATAAACTAGCAAATGTGGAATCCTTGGTGTTCCTCTGAGCTTGATTATTTATTTGCAGAGGTTTCATTAATTAACTAGATAACATCATCAGGGGGCACTATATTTTCTCTTCATATATTACAAATGAAGGTGAATATACGTGTTCCAGGATAACGCTGCAGGATCCAATCTGGGTTGGTCACCGGGACCAGAGGTTTTGTCTTCCGAGTTTTCGGAGTAGTGTTGGAGCTCATTTTGAGGGAACTTCTCTCTCTTCACATATTGTCTTTTATATGTAACAAAAGACTATTCACAGCTGCAGTAAGGAATGGTGGCTGGTTTAATTAATTAAATATATTGTTCCATAATTCTCATTTTTTATAGGGTGAAGTATTCCAGCCAGCACCTCCTCCATGCCATTCCCTATATACACAGTTTTAACATACTATCCATCTTCCACAGCCACTTGGTATTCTCATATTCTGTCTTCTTCAGGCTGTTCTCCTGGGTTGCCTCTCCAACCTTTTCTAATTATTGTTATTCTGCAAATTGTAAAGTTTCTGCAGTCTACTAGTTCTTCTCCCTTGTTTATCATAGTCAAATCTGATTACATAACTATAGCTATATAGCTGTATATGTACACTGAGATAGACAATGATTATGAAAAAAACTATTTTTAAGTAGGGGGCTGTCTACAGTGAATGTACTCATTGTCAACAAAGTAAGTAGGCCAGAAGCCACGTTTTCAAGTACCTAAGTATAATTTCTACTATTCTCCTTTTCTAGCCATTCTGTTCTACTCCCCACTTCAAAATTTGGGGAAGAGATTCTTCAGTCAGCCATCATAGGGCTGTCCTTCCACAAAGTACTTCCCTTCCCACAAGGTACTTTTCTCTGCTTTTACAAATCCTGAATCAACTCACACCACTCAATAGTTCACTAGTTGCTGTTTTGGCTAAATAAATAGCATTCAGAGAACAAAGTTACATCAATTTGAATAATCTATGACCAAGAAATTCCTTTAGGGAATTTAGGGAAAAGAATGTTTCTGAATTTAATTAGATGTGTTCAGCCAAGTACATACTTCAGCGAAATGCACACACCAGCCATTTACTTTGAAATTCTTAATGACTTAAAACCATATGATGCAAAACATTACTTTTTTCTTATATATATTACCCATTCTATAAAATCATTTACTGAACTCTTTTTTTGGCCTGTCACTATCAAATGGGGTTTTAAAACAGCTAACTTTTTAAATAGAAGTTCAGTTTTAGAATGTCATTCTCTGGGGGTAGATATATCGCATAGTTATTTTATTTCCCAAGGCTTTTCCATCTTAAAATCTTTAATACTTCTTAAATTATTTGCACTATTTTATTTTTAAATACAAACATACTTTTACCCTTACAATAATCTTTTAAATAGATTAGCCTGACAACAAGTGGCTCAAGCTATTTAGTAAACTAATAAATATTGGTTTGGGTTTAGTCGTTAGAATCTCCTTTGCCTGATTTCATGTTGCTGGTTTTATTTCTTAACTTCATAAATTATTATACACTTTAAATGTTGTAAATAAATGCACCCCCCAATCCTTAGCATTATCCTGGAATGCATATTAGTACTGTAAATAAAAATGTACAAATAAGATACTTAATCACTGCCATATAGCAGGGATTTTCTTAGCACATTCCCATACAGATTACTATAAAGCATTTACATGTTATGATAGCCATCCCATCTGCCAGATTATAAGGTGCTAGCCATGGGGCACAAGAGAGGAGCATGTCATGGGATTACAAAAACACAGCAATTAAAGATATTACTTTTCTATTATTCTTGGCAGAGGCAAACACAATATTTTCCAGTCAATGTCTCCTTAGAATTAGTGTGTTACAAATAATACACACCCAAATATAAAATTATATGATCTAAAACCAGATTGCTAAATCATTGTGCTTTGTTTATTAAACTCAATAGCATGACAGATTACTGCTTTGACTCAACTGTGCTGAGTTTCATTAAGTGTATGTGTGTCATTTTCTTTAATATGGTTACTCACTCTGGAGACAATAAATGCTCCAGGATCTAGAACCAAACATTTTTGCATCTTATTTTTTTCTATTTTAAAATGAGAGCCACTGTGTTACACCAATGGGTATTGGAATAGGACTGGCAAAATCCAGATTCGCATAACTATAAACTCAGAAGCATGTAAATAATCTCCCACAGAGGACTGTTGCAAAGATAACAAAATGTGCTAGACGGAAATAGGACAACCACAGAAACTGTATGAATTTCATCTGGGAAATGATAGAATAATAATGCAATTAACAAAATAAATAAAACTGTCAAAGACTAAAAACAACAAATAAAAAATTTACTATGTTGATAATTTTATTTATTTTGTGCCTGTCATAGCTGCTAACGTCTCTCTTTTGCCAAGAACCTTTATTTAGATTTCTTTAAAAGCTATGAAAGTCCAGGTATGAGATATAACTCAAGGAAATATTTTTCACACAGCTCTTTAATACACTTGCTGTTTCTCAAAAATCCTTATCTATCTATTCATTTGGCCAATGATCAAAAGGCAGCTTAAAACAGACAGAGTTGAAACATGCTTAAAGTGTGAATCCAGGCCTGTCTGATGGAAAAATAAAGTAAAAAATAAAGTACACTGGCACGCTTTTTAGTAGTTTTAAGAACATCTTAAAGACCAACACAATTTTCAGAAAATAAATCCCAATAAGGGACAATTAATTCCCACTCACACATTAGCACCTAGATCCACAGTTTGGAGATGAACGAAATGCAGTGTGTACCAGGCAACCTTTATTCGTTGGTGGAACACAACTCAATATAATTGCATTTCATTGCAAGTGTGGGAAAACATCTGCAGACCTGAGAAGATCATCCAGAAGCATTGAACACAGGGCAGTGTGTAATAACTCTTTTTATTTGGAGCTTTGGAAGTTTAGTCTAGTGATTGAGATACGATGTACCAGAAAGCAGGAGAGCATGAGTTCAAGTCCTGCCTTAGCCATGAAAGTCAGCTGGGTGACTTTGGGCCAGTCACTCTCTCTCAGCCCAACTCATCATAGGTTTGCTGTTGTGGGGGCAGAATAGGAGGACACAGGTTTGTAAAAATAATAAACTGGGATATCAATCAATCAATCAATCAATATTACATTTCTAGCTGTGGATACTGCTAACATACCCCAAACATCTGCCGGAGGTCAGGATCCCGAAAACGGAAGGGAATGTTGGACACATGCAGCCGCTTTGGGGTAGACTTGCTCTCAGCATTCTCACTGCTTTGTGTCTGCGACTGCTGGCCATCTGTCTGTGCCCCTCCTTCTGTCTGCTGCAGTATTTTAAAAAAAGAAGAAAAAGATAATCACAAAAATCAGCTATGATTCATTTGTTAATCAATTCACGTTTTACACATTTAAAATATCTATATCAATTTAGCATCTGAGTTAAATTTTCATAAAAACAGTTCAAATAAACAGCAATCATTTGTTGATGTGAAACATGGAGATAACAATAGTAAGACAATTTCCATATGGCAATATCTAGGACTCTCAATGCATTTCATGTAAAATAAATTAGTAAATGAAACTCAACACTTTTTTCTTGAAATAATATATTCAGTTTCTACCAGTTTAAATAAATTGGCCTATTGTGAAGTTAACCTTGTCCTGATTGCTTAAATGTAAAAGCCTACTGGCATGCTCCCATTATCTTTTAGCTTTTAATATTCCAGTAAACAAGTTTTCAATTGTAACAGTTATTACACAGCACTTTAGTGTATTTTAAATATTTCACTTGCCTTATCTTGTTGCAATACTTCAAACCACCTTATATGGTTCTAGGCCATTTTATTTGTAAATTAAACATGAGGCTAAAGCTGAGACAGCTTTGGTCTGCCTATATATGATAGCAACGAGATCCTGTCACCGTTTCATAAATAATGTCATAATGTACAATTATAACCACATATAATTAAATATGTCTCTCTAACCCAATGTCATATACAAGTCCTGTTCTGCAATTTTACGGCCTGGGAAGCAGTCTGTGAAATCATACCAAATATTTATTCATCCCCCCATTACTTCCAATCTATGATTTCCCCAAAACAACTGTTATGTCGTCATCTCAAAATCTATTTGGATTCTTCCCATTCTTCCCCCACCTACACAACCCAGGGAGCAGAAGGATGGTGGAAATCAGCCTAGTTATAGATCTGTATTTCAGCAGAAAAAATGCTACTACATTTGGATGTGGTGTGCCACTAATGCCAGAGTCCAACAAGCAAGCAAGATCAAGCTCCAAACCAAATATAGCAGACTTCAAGGACTTAAGTTAACATTAAGTTAACTTCGCTGGGGACAATCCTATCATTTCACAGTGCAAGCTGGTATCCTATATTTGCTTCTCCTTTATATCAATCAGAAAAAAATGAATTCAACAAGATGCGCTGCCTCCTGACCTTCTCTATTTGTTGTTGCTTTACCAAAATGAGAATACCTCCCCCCCATCCATCCACTGCTTGTCAGTAACATCAACTCATTAGATACTCTACTGTCCTAATTTATTTATTTATTTATTTATTTATTTATTTATTTACCATTAACTTATATGCCGCCCTTCTCCCCACGGGACTCAGGGCGGCTCACAGCATGTTAAAACAACACAAAACATTTCCCCTATAAAAGCCAATTAAAAACCAAATATTTATAGCTGTGTCTTATTAAAATCATTAAAATTGTCCCTGTTTAAAATTCACCCTAGGTCAGTCCCGCTTGCTGAAAAAGCCATGTCTTGAGGGCGCGGCGGAAGGTTAGGAGATCCGGAATCGTCCGGATCTCGGGGGGTAGTTCGTTCCAGAGGGTGGGGGCACCCACAGAGAAGGCCCTCCCCTTGGGGGTCGCCAGCCGACATTGCTTGGCCGACGGCACCCTGAGGAGGCCC